TACTTTGAACAAGGAGTATGTTAACGCTCCAACAGAAATAATTCAAATAACGTACAGGTAGTTTTCTTCTATTTTAGTGCCTCTTTCCACCGCCCCGATATTTATTTTTCGGGGGTGAAAACGTACAGGTATTGTGAGCCTTTCTGTTAACCGGTATGTGGAAGTATCCTGCTTAAAGCTTGAACAGCTTATTATATTAAGAGGGTACGGACAGGAAAGGACCATTACTTTGGCAACTACCAGTTTTGAGAACACTTCTATTGTTGCGTTTAGGTGATAGTTAACTGAACAACAGACTAATGGATAAATAGAACCGTTACCTAGCAAATATTTCGAATTGTATGTTGAAATTCTTACTTATCTCGAGATTGTTCCAAAAAATTGCCAGTGTGTCATACTTAAAAATAGATTGTATGTGCATAAGTGAATATCACATAGTAAGTAAATAAATATTATACGATGTGTTTGAAAAATATGTCATTTTTTAGTAGACTGTTAATAATTTACTAGCAGACTCATACAATTTATTCGATGTTATAGTCTTGCTCCTTGTGGAAGGGTTCATCCAGGGAGGTACTGCCACCTTACCTTAGACGTCGGTTCGAATCCGGCCGGATTGAAGGAATTTTTTCTAAGTTCGTTCGTTTCGATCTTTGTATTAATAATTATAAAATTAATTAATTTAAATTAATAAGTTTTGTAACTAAAGTTTATAGCATTAATGGTTGATGACTTCTTCATCTCAATCAGCCGTGAATATGGGACTTGTAAAGGGCCAGAAATGGTAGATTGTCTGAAAAAGAAATATATGTGAATTAGATTCGAAAACATAGTTTCGTTTCCGACAGTAAAAATGGCTGCTATTATGTGTTGGATGTACTTAAAACATATAGAAATAATGTAATGATATCTAACGTGGTGACTCCAATGTTTTATAAAAGTAATCCAAGGCTATATTAACTCCACGACGAAAGTCATTTGTAACATTCGTCACAGTTTTAATGAGAATGTTTGTATTTACAAACTTTAAAATTCTTTATATACTAAAATAATTAAGTACTTACACCATTGACTTACAATTATATGGACGTCGGGTCCGCGCTAAAAAGTGTCCGCACTTGTAAGGCGTTAAAATCGTATACAGAGCGCGACACTCCGCTTTAGTCTTCATTTGTTCTACGGACAGCGCGATACTGCGATAACATAACAATTTAAATTTCGAATAGGTTGATTTGGGACATTTTTTTCGTGGTTTTTGTATTAGACCCGTCGTCCATTTATCCATTATCCATTATGGTGATGTAACAAAGACGGAGAATAATAGAAGAGTTAAGCCACGTAACTTTGAAGAATTTATTAATTTCATAAAATCGTACTGTACACGCAAAAGACTCCAAAGAGATAGTCGTAAAGCCTTTAAATAGATATAAAGAGTACTGCTGACATTTAGGTCAGTCCTCCGTCAAAGTATTTAATTTTAAAAGTTTGTATTACGTCTTATTTAGCGTGTGATTTTAACCCGTTTCGATGATGGTGTGTATCCTGACCTCATGAATAAAAACAAAGTAATCCCTCGTTTAAAATCTGCTAGTATTGAGACGCCATCAATTTCGAACATGTTTCAATACTACTTACCGACTCTTAGTAAAGTATTTGAAAATATAAATCTGATTAACTGTGTCCAAAATTTTATCATAACTTAATGTCTCCTATATAATTTGGTTATTGACGTATGAAATGTACCTCCATTATTTGATGCTTATCCCAAGATTTACATTATGCTACAGGGCCGGTGTGTGACCTTTTCAAATCTTTTGTCTGTTTGCACCTTGTTAAGCTGATCAGGAATGTTCCCCATCAAGGTATGGCAGCCGTGACGTCGACCTTTTTAAATCGTATTTGAGAGTCATCAAGTCTACAATACATATGGGTATCCCTCAATGTTCAATTCTAGGTTCATTTTTATTTTTACTGTATATTAATAACTTGCTTAGCCTCTTGGAAGATATAGAACATGAGATGGTATTGTTTGCTGACGATACTTCCTTATTATTTAAGGTTAAAAAGCACTAATGTTGCTATAGCGATGCGAACAATGCTATTTCAAAGGTAGGCAGATACATTATTGTAATAATCTGCTTCTGAACGAAAAATAAACTAATTGTGTGCAATTTGCGGTACTTACTGTCAGGACAGAAAGTCGCATGCATCATAGTCAGAAATGAAAAACTGAACCTTGTAAATACAATTACATTTTCACATATAAAAATTTAGATGCCAAATTGCAATGTTTTCACAAATACCTAAATAGTTAACAGTTCAGCTATGCTGTAGAAGCAATTTTAAAAATACGAAAAAAGTTAGATTGGTTTACTTCAGTTATTTTCACAGTTTAATGACATACGACATTTTGCTTTGGGATAATGCCGCCGACATTATTAAAATCTTTGTCCTGCAAAAACGTGCTGTTGGGGCAATTTTGGAATTGGGCGCCAGACTGTTTCTGGAGATAAATTTAAATTATTACATTATCGTCACAGTACATCAAAGAAAATGTAATTTATTTTTTATTATAGGGACGAGAATTAATTTTTTCTTTACAGTTGTCTAAACAAATACATTTAAATTTCGTATACACTCCTTCGATTCCGTTTGAAATTTTAAATATTGAAATGTCAAACTACATTACAACAAAAGCCTTATTCTAAAGGTTTTATGCGATTTTAACGCTTCTACATGCCTGTGGTCCAAAAACCCACGGCAGTAGTAACTTGTCTAGTTTTTTCTGGTTATCTATCTATTGGATATTTGACGTAAATATTATAAGTGATAAATGTAAACAAAATTCAGTTTATTAAGAGATACCTCGAGATTTTCTTAATATTATTTATTAATCCTCGTTATTTTCACAGAAATCTGCCTTACGGATTGGTAGTGTGAGTAACGAGACCAAGTTATTAATTTACCCTATAAAATAACCTTATTAAAAATCTTTAAATCTAGGACATGAAATCAGTTTGTGATTCTTTAATGCAAATCACTGGAGGAGAAGCGAGAAAAACTGTTTAACTAGGTTAAATGGTTTGAGTATTTAGATACTATCAAAAAATATACGATACACCTAGGGATGTTGTCTAAAGAATGTGCTAATATGACAGTGTTATGCCATGATTTCTTCAATAAATCTAGTTAGTACTTAGTTTAAACCTTTCTTCTACACAGAAAAAAGATTTCTACTAATAAGAAAGAGCAATTTCTCAAAATATTTGCTAATTCTGAAAAAATATTTATTAAAAGTAATAAAATATTGTCATTACAAAAATACCGCTTATCTTTTTCTAATACAATTTTAGTCTTAACTTTATTGTAACTTTTAGACAAATACGTTCACTTCAACATTTTATTTCATTTCTAATCAATTAATTGGACATTATTTACATTAACAAAACCTCTTACATCAGATTTAAATAATCTTAAATGAATTTAAAATTTCTTGGGTGTATTCTTAAACAAAAAAGAAGTAGTTTGCTATTCAGATTAATATTCTAAATTCTAGAGTATATTCTTAAAGCACCATTTCGTTGCGTTTTCATAGCCAATGTTGTCGTGACATGTCGCCGAAGGCGCACGCGGTAACGATTACTTATACTTGTGCTTGTAATCATAAAAATCATAAACAGTCACTTATCCAAAGAAACAATACTAGTAGTATCTCTAGTTAGTTAGGGTGTTATTTGTAGTCATAATTTAAGAAATTTGGTTTCAGCGTGAAATCAAACTACACTTGTAACAAGCACAACTTTAACATGCAATTACTTCCGTCACGCCACTGCTAGATGACATTAGTTGTACTCTGAAACGCGCTATCGTTTTATTAACTTCAATAGTATAAGTCATCTCATATATTTAAAAACGTTGGTGCTTTCTGCAGCTGTAGCATTCATACGACACCGAATGGTACTCAAGTATGTATGTGAGAAGATTCCGGTCCTATTTCTGCTACTTTAAAGGTTGGCACAGAACTGTGTGCTTTCACGCCAATGAGACATACTGTTGGGTCCATAACCCTGTAAATTTACCCTTTTTGATATTAGAAAACATAAATCTTCAGTCAAATAATTAAGTACCTCTCAATTTTTTATTCTTTTTTTTTTCAAGTCAAACAAAATCGGACATAATAATAATAATAACTTTATTTATAGCCATTACAAATACTATAAAAATAATTACAGTAATATGTTTTAAGTAATTGATGGGTTGCTAACCAGACAGGCAACATCCAGACCCCACAAAAGGATTCAACCTGTGTTAGCGGATAGTACTGCTGCCACCACGGCGGGAAAGCATCAATCTAAGTAGTAACAAACAAATGGCTTAAAAGTAAACTAAATAAAACTCTGTAGTCCCAAAACTGTTCAACAATAGGACTGTTCTTTTGGGACTAAGAAGAAAATAAAATTAAATTTAACAAAGAAACAACATTTAAAGAGTGCGGTTAATTAAGTTTTTACATTAATCTATGCTGTGTAGTTGGCGGTGTGTATGTAAAAGTGGAGAGTGTGTGTTAAATGTGTTGTGAATGGTACTGATTCGGACATGTAGTGTGTGAATGTGAGCTGTATGAAAGGTGCGTCATAATTTTTGCTTTTGAATGCGTATAGGGTCAAACATAGGAGAGCCGAATAACAAATAAGTTTAAATGAAATTACACAATCTAATGTAGTTGATTATTTATAGATAAGAGAAATTACTTTAACAGCGATTCTGTGGAATCGTAGTCGTGGCATTGTAACAAAGCTGTTTCTTTTTTCTTGACTTCATAACGGGAAAGAGAATATATGTTTATTTTACTATTGATGATATTATATAAGCGAGGGCTGAGAACACAGAAATGCCTTCCAGCCAAGGTAGTCCTATGTTGCCTGTGAGGGCATACGTAGGCACTTCTATATCTCTGCAAAAGAGTTGGGTCATATTTTAATAGCGTATGCTTCTGCAAGATGACATGTAGTATGTATAACTGCCTCACTGACAGAACTGAAGAGTCAGAGTATAACAGTGAAGTTGGATACCGGTAAGGCTTTTTAAACATCACTGTTAAGACCGACCTCTGAGCTCTTTCCAATTTAAGCATAGTAGTTTTAGCCGCACCACCCCAAGCAGTAAGACAGCAGGTCAATAAGGACACGCAATAAGCAGAATAAGTCATGTGGAGGGTGTGAGCATCAACCACTTGCCGGAGGTTTTTGAACACATAGATCAGTTTACGAATCCGTGAGGTCAAAGAATTTATGTGATTGCGCCAACTAAAAGTTTGGTCAATAGTTACACCGAGATATTTGTAGTGATTGGTGGCTGCAATGTAAGGACAAGTACAATTATGACTTGGGATTACGCAAGTATGGGCCTTTACAAAAAATGCATTAGTGGGTGGTATTGACAATTGTTTGAGCGCGAAAGGAAGAAAAAAGGTTTTTGACGAATTAATAGTGAGCAAATTGGAGGACAGCCAACTCATTACCGCAGCAAAAGCATTCTCTGCCAGCTCACGCACCTCTTCCCATGTATTTCCATGTATTAATAAGGCGGTGTCATCAGCGTAAGTGATGATCCTGCAGTTGGGAAGCTGAAGCTGACATAGGTCATTAATATATGCGATGAAGAGGGTAGGACCAAGAAGACTTCCTTGCGGAACACCGATTGAAATTTGCTCGTCATCACTAACATAATTCCCGATTTTTACTGCTTGTGAGCGGTTGGTTAAACAATTTTTAAATATATCCAGTTGGGTACCCCTGATGCCCATAGTTTCTAATTTAAGCAAAAGTAAAGGGATTGAGACCCTGGCAAATGCCTTTGATATATCCAGAAATATACAGAGACACTTTTCCTTTCTGTCAAGATGGTAAATCACGTCGTCTATTAGGGCAGATACTGCATCATTAGTGGATTTGCCCCGTCTAAAGCCGAATTGGTTACAAGAAAGTAGATTTTTTGATTCCAAGTAGTTAATCAATCGGTTGTTCAGAACCTTTTCCAGTATCTTCAACATAGCCGGGAGAACGGAGATTGGCCTGTAATTATTTACAACATCATTATCTCCTGATTTGTGAATGGGATGTACCAGAGCCTTTTTAAAAACATTTGGGAAATCTCCGGTAGAAAGGGACAAGTTGCAGATATGAACAAGTACTGGAATGAGAACATGACGCGTCGACTTCAAAATTGACGAGGAAATACCATCATGACCGACCGCGCAGTTATTGCGCATCATCAAAATTAATCCTTCGATTTCCTCACAGTCCACATCCAATACAGAGAAAGACTTAGCGGATAAAGAAAGAGCTACAGGAGATGGACAAATTGCGGTTAAAGATGGTTTGATTTTACTCGCTAAATTAATTCCGATTGTAGCAAAAAACTTGTTTACAATGTTCACTGAAGTTACCGGTTTGGGATATAATTTCAACAAGCAGCCTGACGGATTCGTTGCAGACTGCATATTCGTAATGGTTTTGACTACATTCCAAGTTAACCTAGCATTGTTTTTTGCATTCATTAGCAATGATCTCAAGTAAGATTTTTTTAAGTTTTTAAGTAGTTTATTAATAAAATTTCTGTATCGTGAATAAGTTACCTTTAGTACAACACTATCAGGATCTTTTTTAACTTTCCTATGTAATGAGTCTCTGTTTCGAATACAGCGAAGTAGACCGGGAGTTATCCAGGGTTTGATAGTTGTTTTTGAGCGAGAAACAGTGAAAACTTTTGTGTACTTCTTGATGATGTCCGATACAAATGACACTAACAGGTTTGCTGCAACATTCACATCCCTTGAATATAACACTTCAGAAAAATCCGACTCGGTGATATCCTGGACAACTGCTCTATGATCTATTTTAATTCTTGTTTGGGAAACTTGCGGAAGACTATATCGAAGCTGTGTCGACAATAGTACAGGACAGTGATCTGTAATATGTGATTGTATCAACATAGTAACTGAAGAAAATTTGGATTGTAATAGAACGTGATCCAGGCAATTTTCTCCACGAGTGGGAAGAATATGAGCAGGCAAGAGGCCATGGCCTGCAGCCAGATTCAAGTATTGTTCAGATCGCAGATCGGTGCCATTATCCTTTATGTCCAAGTTAACATCTCCCACTACACAAACAAAGGGGACGGCATTTAAAGTCAATAGAAGACCGTTCAGACTATTTAAGTATTTGTCTATGTTATATATCGAGGGCGATCTATAGATACAGATTAGTGCCACGTCAGTTCCTAATAACTAACAAGATATTTTGTTGAATCTAGAGTGGCTTTATGACTTGAAGTAAATTAATTTGCTCTTGGAGTAAATATTTCTGTCTTATAACTAAAATACACTTTTGAGTAAAGTAATTATTCTCTAGCGTCAATAGGGAGAGGATCGTTTTGTTGGTTTTAATAAACTTGTCTTCATAAAAAGAATTTTGTCTTTTTCTAAGTAATCTGTTTTTATTGTGTATTGAAATTAACACAAAAACTTAACTCAACCGCCATTACATATTTTTTCTGCCCCTTTTGTTTTTTAAAACCACAGATCACATTATATTTTACTTTCATAGATAAAAAAGGTATATTTACTATTATTTTATATTAACTTAAATAGTCGGTTTTAATACTTGGCGTTAACACACAGCCATTCTGCTAATAATTAGACTGATTCCATTTTGACTAATAACCGGCTGCCCTATAATCAAATCTATCCCGTTTATGCAGTTGTTTGTCGCACAATCGCACACTGCCAAGTAATTTAGTGCTGTTGCCACCAAATCCACGCATAACTATAGCTGATTCCTCAATAGATAATTGTAATTGTTCTACAGTGTACAATGTGACAACAATTACCGTACTGCCTGTATCAATCTAAGCACATATTTCACAATTATTGATCAATGCAAGTTTTCTATAACAGTCTAACATAATTTCGCAAGTTTTAAAATCATACATCACCATTTTCTCTGGAAACCAGCTGCTTGTAGTCTCTCGTGCTCTGGTCTGCGGCAGGTGTAACACAGCTTCTCTTGTGGAATTGGCCTTCCTCGCCAGGTAGCCCTGATGGGCCCAACAGTATTCCTTGTAGTATTGGCAGCAACTTTCTTATAATTTTCTCAGTAGTCTGGCACTTGAACGCTTTCGCATTTGTTCTTAAGCCCTCTGGCTGTCCGCAGATAACACATGAAATAGCACCCTCTTCATCAATCTGGCATTTCTTAATTAATGATATTTTGTCATGAAAACTATTTTAGTCATAGTCTCCTCTTCAATCTTCCTCCGGGTTAAGATATTTTCCAATGTATCTACAAAATCAGTAGACTCAGGGAATGCGCGATCAAGAACTGTTTTGCGCTAGAGGATGAGAGTCGCATGTGCATAATGTATGACTTATCAGCATCTCTTCACTCATACAATCCATCTAAGTGGTCGATTTTGTCAACCCAAGACTTCACTGTAAAAGACTTAGGTCCTGTTTCGGCATCAGGTCAGTATCAATTTTATTCATTAGAATGCAGACGAGGAAAATAAATTTTTTTCGCCGCAATCTCCTTCTTGTACATATGTATTTTCATTACTAGGTTACATTTTAGTAGCTTCCGAGACCGCCAGCGTAGGAATCCAAATTCTGCATTTTTTTTTCTTATTAGTGTGATTTCTCTAGTTCATCCTACTTCTGAGATGTTATTAACTTGATTTCTTCAATAAAACTAGTCATTTCTTAATTTAAAACTTTCTTCTATTCAAATTAACACAAACATTTTTTCTTCCTCTTTTGTTTTTTAAATATTTTACTCTTCATAGACAATAAAAGGTTCTATAGTTACTATAATTTTAATAATTGGTTTTAATAATTGGCGTTAACAATAGGATGTACTTTATCCGATCATATGAAATCCTGAAAACAAGCTACAATAAAAGTCTAAAACGAATTATTTAAGAATGAAATATAACTTTGTTCATAATTTTTATATTGAGATATTTAATTATCTTTAAGTACTACAAAGAACCTGCCAATTTTCGCTTTTCAACTGAAGCCCTACGAGTTATTAAATTCACATTTACCCCAAAATTTGCAAATCACCCAGATTTCTGTACAACCCATTGCTGGCTCGAGAAGTGTTTGACAAGTTGAGCCCGCACATCCAGTCCCGCTGGTGCGACTACGCCGCAGATCATGAAGGAACAGCAGACACAGAGATCGTCGTGCTATCACGCTTCCTTATGCGCGAGGCCGACAGAGCGGTGCGCTATATGTACTCGCCCGCCGCGAGTACTGCTGCAACTACGAGGAGAGAAGTAAGACCCGCGATAATGAAGAAGAAGGCGAACGCCGTGTACACTGCCACGGAGAACGAACAAACGGACCGCTGCCCGCACTGCGGCCAACCCCACGCGCTACACCGGTGCCCGTCCTACAAAGCACTCAGTGTTGATCAGCGCTGGAACATGGTGCGAGAGAAAGGAGTGTGCTTCCGATGCGTCGAGAAACGACACCGACGCCAATTTTGTAAGGCGAAGCTCTACGGCGTGATCCAATGTCGCCGCCCGCACCACCCTACTCTGCACGAGGAACCGAGTCAACACATTGCGCAGCCTGCAGCACCGCCCACAACGCCGCCCGCAGTGACCCCACCAAACGCGCCGAAGCACCACGAGACCGTGCTGTCACTGGGCACGCTACCACCGAAAGAGAAGGAAGTGCTGCTCAAAGTGGTTCCAGTCACTGTAACGGAACCACTGGGAAGTGTGGAGATATACGCACTGATGGGCGAGGGCGCCACAATAACCCTAATCGACGAAGAACTGGCACAACGCATCGGAGCGGAAGGACCCTCAACACCGTTGCGGCTACATGGAGTGAATATGACACGACAAGAACATCAGAGCCGAACCGTCAGCTTACAGTTGAAAGGAACAACACAGGACAAGCCGATGAAGAACCGAGCCCGTACGGTGCGTGATCTGAAGTTGCACCAGCAGTCCATACCGAGTTCGCTGCTGTAGGCAAAGCATCTACGGGACATATGGGAAGACGTGTGCTATGATCTGGCACGCCCGCTCCTCCTGATCGGCAGCAACAATTGGGAGCTGATACTAACTCGCGAACTACGAGTTGGTGGACGCAACCAACCAGCTGCATCCCGAACTCAGTTGGGCTGGGTGGTACACGGAACCGTACCACGGAACGCCGTCTATCAACGCAACAATGTGCTGCACGTGTGGACTCCTGATCATCCCCTACACGAGAACCAGCAGCACGACGACCGCCTACACGAACTGATCGGGGCACACTTCCGCATCGACGCTCTCGGTATCGCGCAGAGACCGCGCGTGGGTGGTGCGGACCAACGAGTGATCGAAATAGTGAGAAGAACTATGAAGAAAGTCGATGGCGGCTACGAGGTTGGTTTGTCGTGGAAAACCGACGGAACTACGATGCCTCTGAGCTACGAGGCAGCGCTACGACGACTACGTGCCATAGAACGTAGAATGAACGCCGATCCCGCCTTCGCCGAACAGCACACCGCCCAAATGGAGAACCTCTTCAACAAAGGCTACGCGGTGCCATGCGACGGCACTGAACAAAACAGCTCTGTCAGTTGGTATCTACCACACTTTGCCGTACAGAACCCGAACAAGCCCGGTAAGCAGCGACTTGTGTTCGACGCGGCGCACAAGAACCGGGGCGTGAGCCTGAACGACCAGCTGCTGGAAGGCCCGGACCTACTGCTATCACTGCAGGGCATCCTCTTCCGATTCCGTGAAAAGCCGATCGCCGTCACCGCCGATATCCAAGAGATGTTCCTGCAGGTGAAGATCCGACCGGACGATCAACCGGCACAGCAGTTTCTGTGGAGAGGGGAGAACAGAACTGACCCACCACGATGCTTCAAAATGAGGAATATCATGCATATTTGGCGCAGCCAGCTCCCCATTCATGGCTCACACAGTGCGCAACTACAACGCAATCAAGCACGCAAAGACCCATCCGCGAGCATTAGTGGCAATTACTCGAAGCCACTACATGGACGACCTGGTGGGCAGCTGCGACAGTGAACACGAAGCTCGCGCCACCATAAAAGAACTACGTGAAGTACACGCAGCGGCCAGTTTCACGCTAAGGCGCTGGAGCTCAAGCTGAACGTGCTGCGCGACGTCCCGACAGAACTCAGAGCAACTACGCCCACCGCTCTCGGGACGGTCGAGAGAATGGAATACAAGATCCTGGGACTCTACTGGAACCCGCAAACAGATGTACTCGGTTTCGACACTGCCATGTACCGGGTGCCAGCCGAGGTACGCAACCAGAGCCGCGCACCCACCAAGAGGGAAACACTCAGTGCGGTCATGTCGATCTATGACCCGCTGGGGCTGCTAAGCCACTACACGATCAGAGCGAAGATCATCCTTCAAAACATATGGCGACTAGAACTAGTAGAAGAAGCCGAACTCTTCGCATCCTCGCTGCGACAACTGGACGAAATCGCACGCCTACACCTGCCCCGGAACTACGCCCTGGAGAACCATGAGCACACTGAACTACATGTGTTCTGCGACGCGAGCGAACAAGCGTACGCTGCTGTGGCCTACTGGAGGGTTGTACACCAAGAGCGGTAGCGCGAAAGTGACCCTAGTTGGAGCAAAGGCTAAGGTGGCACCACGGCGTACGCAAAGTATCACGCGTCTTGAACTACAGGCTGCACTCATCGGTGCAAGGCTCGCCGACATTATCAGGCGCGAGCACCGCATCGAGATAAAGAAGACCATCTATTGGACAGACTCATCAACCGTAGTCCACTGGGTGCGTAACGACGCGCGACGATACACCCCATTCGTTGCACATCGGCTATGGGAGATCGCCGAGCTCACGCACAAAGACGAGTGGCGTTGGCTGCCGACCGCTGACAACCCAGCCGACGATGCCACAAGACAAAGTCAGACTCCAATACGCATGGAAGATATCGGTTTGATGGTTCCAGACCAGAGGACCGGTGGCCCACAGAACGGGAACCTCATGAAGATGGAGAGGAAGTCCTGCACCTGAGCCAGCAGGACGAGAGCTACTTCGACTGGATGCCTGACCCTACCCGCTTCTCGAGATTCGAGACGCTAGTGAGAGCAACCGCGAACATATTGGCTTTCACGGACATCTGCCGGAAGCGAGCGACCCGCATGGAGCTACAGCACATCGAACGCACCGACCGCCTCCTCGCCGACTACTAGACGAGAGAGTTAATTTAATACTTAAGTAGGAACATTTTGAGCAATAAATGTAGTGGTTAGTAGTCAGTGTTTCATTTACGATCCTGATCCCGAGAAGAGCAAGAACCCCATCGAACCAGTTCAAGAACCTGAACAAATACAGTCCACCGAACATTAACGATCCAAGGAGAGCTAGAACACCAACAGATGTATTGCTATCTCGCTAGTAAAAAAGCTCGTGGACTGAACTTGTAGCGCAGGCAAAACAAAATGACCGTCGCGGCGAGTGACATATGCAGCTACAAGTAATTTATTAATTAAGAAGTTCTTATATAACAATAATTTAGAAAGATTTCTTGTATTAGGCATTGCCTTTATAAAAATAATAATAACGCACACACTCTATATAGCCACGCACTAGGGAAACCCCGTGTCGCAAGTGCCTTGGACATATGGAAAAATGAGGAATAAACCTCTCCATCTCTACCTAACTCCTTTACACCCGATTCCGCTGTAGGTTTCCACGGGTTGTCACCTCAACACCTGAAAGACGTCACTTCGCCTTCGCCCAGCAAAGTCAGCAAAAGGTTCAAGTAATAAATTTGATGTTGCTGGGCAATATGCGTACACAAATAGTCTCCATCATGGCCCCATACTTGATGTTGCATATAGCAGTATTAGGGATGCTTTGCTGAAAGTGAACCCTCTACACTAGTATACTCCACCCAACCCCAAAAGTCTATGGAGCTGGGATAATGTATTGTGCAAAAACACTCTGAATGACCTAATCAACCACTGCACCCCAATAGACCTAGCACTTTTGGAAGCGGCGTCCAGGTGAGAATCCGGCCACTGGTGACACGCTTTCCCTTCTGCCCGTACCGGTACTTTCCTGAGTGCTGAAACCAATCGTATAGCAGCAGGCATCCGTCTTGGTGTCCCAGCTCCACACCTCGATACCCTTGCGGCAAAGAAATAATTGCTATGGGTCCTCACGGTCTTTTCTGCAGCTGACCGGCGGCCGTATCTCCCGGCATGTAGCCCTCAACGACATCGCGTCCACTGGGCCTTAGCCACAGTTAATGTGCCCGCTGTACTCGAGCCATGCGGCATGTCGCGAATTGATGCCACACGCGCGAACAGAATAACACTCATCCCTTGGAGTTTTGGCCGGGCACTGGTGTGGGCCGACACTCTAGTCCCATCCCATCTCCAGCACACCAGCAAGAGACTGTGCAGACGGAAAGATCAAAGAGTAATAAGTATCAGGACTTCGGCTCCAACGACCTATTTGCACTCTTTGGAGTCGATACTCTTCATACCATTGGGTCCTGGTGCCATCTTTAACAAATTTATTAAAAAAATAGGGCAGTCCAGAAAAGTAGTTTAAAAAACCCAAGGGGGGCTACTTTGCCTTTGCCAGCATCGCCGCGTTAACCCAATTTTATTCATATAATTTAGTCCTAGTGTTAGTTTCTAGAATTTAAGTTTATATTATATTTTTCATTTTTATAACTTACCTGTCTAAATAAATAAATTATAGCCCCAATATTCACAGACTTAGCCTTATTACTATTATTCAAACAGATTCAATTTCATTGAACCTTAACTTAGATTTGTAGCGATTCGCTACATAAACTTCGATACATTACATAAACTACAAAACAATAATCAATAATAAACTAAATTCCCGTGTTCATCCAAAGACATTAAAATAGGTAGCTTAATCTGAAGATATCGAGTCATTACATTTTTATTTAAATAGAAAACTATTTTATTTTCATAATATACAGGAAACGTAGAATAAAAGCTTAAATATTAATTCATCAGTCTTCACTATATAATGCATAGTCGGGCATTACCCTCCCGTCCCGCAAATCTTCAGGAGGGCGAAGTTTGCGGTGGTTTACCTTTAGCTTTTGTCGTTGGTCATGCGGTCAGCGGATTTTAAAAATAGTCTGCATAAAATACTCTCAATACGCAAAATCCGAGAGCTTTATGTGACCAAGAGCAGCATAGCATACAGTTGAATTTGAAAGTAAATTTCAAGCTTTACCTGCTTTTGACCTTGTAAAAGTATTACTCTATATTTATTTCATATTATGACTTTGCAGTAGTCTCGTTTGTTCCAACCATCCAGTATATTACCAGAAATAGAGACGAAATAAGGGCCATTCATCACTGGCAACTCATCAGGCAAAAGGGCCTTAAATAACTTTTAAATATCAACTCTCATTTGAGCTGAAATCACAAATTGGAAAGCTGAAATAGTACAGCGCCAACAACCGACCTGTGTGTACGTCTCCGTATATTTCAAAAATATTCCGTATCTATTCTAATAAAGATAAATATCTCTAACTATGGGGGGCTGTTCCATTCGGTGATCTGGGAAACATCAAAACAAAACATCTAATTACAAAACAAACGGAATCACATTTCATCGGTAATTAAATATTAAATATGTAATTTTTTAATTTTATTTCATTATAGCAAAGCTCAAGTTAAACTGGTCAATTTGAAGTGAAACAATTGACGACACCCGTCAATTGTTTCGAATTCAAGTCACCGTAATGATTTGGCAGAATAGTTTTTAAACAAATTAAATGACATTTCGTCTCTATTTCTGGTTATATATTCGATGGTTCCAACAAACCGAAATATAAAACCTTACGTAACAAACTTATAATAAAAAAATGAAAACACTTCGTTATGTAACGATTTAACACCTTTTTTGGTTTCTATATTTACGTTATAGAGTTTTTAGCTGTTATTACTGCCAGACTGTAATTGAAAATTTGTAGTCTAAAATATTTATATTGAAGTTTGGTATTAAAGGTTTTTCTGTAGTGGACAAAGTCCACGGCCTTTGATTGGTCCATTAGGACATTGTTTCGCGCCGTGTACCTACATTGCAACACTATGTCTAAACTTAATGTTTGAACCTTTAATGGTATATTTTGAAAGATAATAAATAACCTTATTATTATCACTATTCACGGTCATATATGTACCTAGTTGCAATTTCTACGTATCCAAATTGATGGCATCATGAAATCATAAAAAAAAGAAGCGAATAAAATTCACCAAAATAAATTTCACCTTGTAACTTACCTACTCATGATAATAAACGACGAGGGCAAAAATATTTTTTTCCCCATAGAAATATCCAATGGCAAAACAGATTGTATGTGACACAAAATTACCGGTTATTTGATTCTTGATTAACGATATTTCTCCTGGACATCTACGGAATGTTAGCCAATTCGGACTTGACTACGAAGTAAAACTAAAACAAGGTATCAACAATTTTTTTTCAAGTATTAACATTCCTCATTCTAAAGACGATTAGAAAAACTACAACAAAATCGCGCTCGTTGTGTAAATTTACACGCCCTCTTGCACATTGAATATACTCATTGGAATTTTAAGAGTAAATTCCTACAATGATCAGATATTTTACTATTCTCCGGCAGCGTGGATTGTGGTTACGGCATACCCGAAAACTGGTAATAATCGATAGTGGTGATATGCCACATTATGGCATTTGTAATAAACATCAATTGTCGGGGTGTGAGCACATGACGGCCGGTGACATTGGATGACGCGCCGCTTATCAGCGCTATCACGGCGCGTCTCGCCGCAGCGGACCGCGCCGCGCCGCTGTTTAGTAGCGCGCCCTCATCCGCGCCGCGCGGTTGTGTTGTTCTGTTTTTGTTGAGCGTCGTTCTCCCCGCCCTCCCCGCTCCCAAATGCTCACGTCGCACCCCTACTACGGGATGTAACTCGTAAGTAACTCTACTTTTTTACCATGCCCGCCGCAACCCTATGCTTCTAACCGATCGAGACGAGAACCGCGAGGCAAGTTAACCTCGCGTTCTTCATAAGAAGGTTGTGTGATAATTTTTCAGGTACCTCTACACCGATTAACATATGGATTTTGTTTTTATTGTTTGATCTAGAGTGACGACATTAAAGTGTTCGAGTATTGAGGTGAAGTGAGTCACGTCGAATGGAAAGATATGAAGGTCGCTCAACTTATCCTAAAGCAAATTTGTAGTGACTCTTTATTCTGTATCAGGAGGGATATTCTTATCGCAGTAAAAGATGCCATATTGCTTCGACGGTTAATGCTGTTGCCAGCACCCGCGCCGCCGTCGTCGCCACACCGCCTGCGTCTGTCCACGCTGACACCTTCAAGCGATTTTTTTAGATATGTTTCAACTTAGAATCGTTTCAGGGTGTTAGAATGATGATATGTGACGTACTTACATAAGATTTTATTTGCTGTATGCTGTACGCTCACCACAAATATGAATGTAAAACATAAATGATAAAGCCTTAAAACCACATCAGGCTTAGAAGCAGAAGACAATGATTTAAACGACATACTATATAGACACCTACCCATATTATTGAAGAAACTTACTATGTATAGGAGCTCCGTGTCCTTGAAGACGGCGCGCTCGCAGCGGCACGGTTTGTTCACACTTCCTTCACACAAAACGACATTGTTGTTTGCATTGATATTTTAATTTTCTTTACACAATAACAAACTTACGTATTTTTCCTAATTTTAGCACTTAATTTACCTCTGCCTAATGAACAAAAATAACTACTTTCTTTTAATCATAAAATGTTACTTAATGTTTTAATAATAATAATATTTTTTTTCATCATTAGAAGGGTAGAAAAGTACATAATAATGTTGGCACAGTTTTAATGTTATATAATTTTTAAAAGTTTCTCTATGATGACCATTTGGTATACGAATATTTCAAACATAATTAATTATCGACATTGACAGTCAAAATAATGAAAAAAAAAGTTTTCAGATAGAAATGATAGAATTATCAATAAGTAGGTTACTTTTACACTATCGTTTACCAACATCTTTTACACTTTACAATACATAGATAATGCGTGTATGTATACTTGTTACACGAACCATTTCGAGTTATTTTTTGCCTGTTGGTAATTCAAATTATATGTAGTTTAACACCAATTGCAAACAAAATGTATGTTACACAGATGTGGCCCATTGTTGCGTTTTGTAAGATACCTGTTCATTTTCTTACTTTTTAATGGCGATGTTTGGGAATGGATGAAAAGTGACCGTTAACGGCATTTACCTCAATCACGGAAAACGGACGATCGCCACAGCAAGCGTTTCAATTGACAGAGGGTCGGCGACGACGCATTGCGCCGGAGCCTCCATGTTTGACTGTTTTTGTGATGTACTAATGACGGTCTAGTAGCAATTTGAAATTGAGAACAGTTATTAATAGTTAAGAAAAGAGACGTTATTCAAAACATTGCATGGCGAATCCTGTGCTAATTGTCTTCTTATCCCTGTATCTTCTTACGCTTATTAATTTTCATCCCAAACATGAAATACCGAAGCCAACTTTGTTTATCTCGGCAACAAACTTGGAGAGTACCTATGCATCGAAGCGAATACGGGGTATTACGGTAACAGTATCTGTGGAAGGTTGAGGTTGAGCCATTAGCGGGTTTTACATAGTCACTATCGCGCGTGATACAGCAATCGTGCGCGATTGAGCGAGCATATAAAGACGTTGGAAGGAAAAGGGTAAGACCGCGTGATTGCGCTCTCCAATGCTCGCCAATTTCGCGTGGTCTATCTTGCGCTATTAGCCTTTACCCGGACGCTCTTTTCGTGGTAACTAAAACGAATACGAGCCATCTCACGCGAAAGACGTTAGCTTAAAAATTTCAAACGGGTAATCGCGCACATTTGTGCGTGTGTAAAGGGGCTAATGATGTAAATAGCAAAAAGTTATAGAAATCACAGCAACACGGAGATTATCTACAAAGCTATCGAAAATGGAAATCCTACAAAAGTTTGGCATTTCCTCAAGTCACTTGGAGTTGGTAAATCTTGTTGTAATAATTTTTCTGAACACCTAAACTTCGATAAGTTTCGCAATTATATTTCTATAGCCTTGGACTATTCATTAAAAATGTATGTATAATTAATTGTTCATATTTAACAACTTTTCTGTCATTTCCTTTATTTTGCACCGGTCATAATATGATTACCGTATAATATGGTCGTAGTGAGAGCATGGAAACAACTGACTGTTCTGACACTCCTCGACTTCTGTAATGCCTCCAATAGTGTTGCCTTTGACCTATTATTGTAAGTAATACGTTGTCTTAACGTATATCCAGTAGTTATCGATTGGTTTCGAAGCTTTTTTTTGGATGTCGTCGGTAGCGCACAAGTAATGAGGTTTTATTCTTTATATGGTGCGGCACTTCTGCCGAGGTACGCACGGTAGCGTCTTTTCGCTTTCCTTATTTTATCTTTATCAACTCTATTAAACTACTCCTCCCTTCTTCCTATGATTTTTGGGCTGAAGACCTCCAAATTTACACTCATTTTTTTAAAAACCAACCATTTGCTGCCGACTGTACCAATGGTCCACATTTAAATTTAAGTCTACTCTTTATTGTTGGTAGACCTCAAGTTCTAAAGTATATAATAATAATTGGTAGTACTTGGTTTCCAACACATGTTGACTTGACCACTTACCAATTGTGAATTTTGATGGTGTCGGAATATCTTCTCTTGATTCCTTCAAGCGACGAGCCAAAGAACACTTTGTTCACTCCAAAGTATCATTTTTCTTCCCTTCGTTTAATTCTTTATGTAAATACGTACTATTTTTATTTCCAACATTTTTTTATGAAAGAAGTTAAGTTTATTTTCCTATAATAAGCAAATATTATTATACAGGGTTATTTTTAAAACACTAACAACCTCGCAGGACTATATTACAGAGATCATAAACAACAACTTTTGTTCCTTTAATTTTAATTATTCATCACATTTTTAGTTTCATACAAAAATAAAAATATTTAAACGCAGGAGCACGGGGTGGTGTCATCGGAGAGGAGATGCCTGCATGTTAGAGCTAGACCTTACTACCTTGCTATACAGATCTAAAAAGTGTCAGACAGTAAAATAAAAACTTGGTATGTTTTGTAAAAAGTCGCGGAGCTAAAGTTATTGTTTTTGATGTCAGTAGAATAGTCCTGAGAGGTTGTAAGTATTTTGTAAATGCCCTGTATATGTATACAATATTGATATTCAACATAATATATTGTATATTTGAAAAACTTCTTAGAAGATATGCCTCATATAAATTGGACGTAGATAAACATAAAGTATCCAATCCACATCCATTCACTTTCGAGGTATGGCAGTTTGAAGTTTAAAAGTGTTTCTCACTTTTGTTTTATTTTCAAAACTTGTAATATCATGTAATTCCCGAGATATTTATTTATGTTCATATGTTGGATTTTTTTGCTGATCTGAGAGGTTAGACTCTAGGAACCGTTTGGTACATATAACACATTTTATGATTATTTTGTGGATTGGATCCTTTTTGCTTAACTACGTCCAATTTCTATCTTAAGGTCGATAGTAAGAAATTGCTTCGTCATACCGTATACCTTCATACTTACTGTTCAGTGTTGTCATTGTATTTTTATGTGCTAAAGAATACTTAATTCATTCAGTCGAAAGTTTATTTCGGTAACCAAATTTTTTGTACATATTCTATGAGTTAGCAACCTTACAGTACCGCTTCAGTAAATCCACATTTCTACATATATTTATGTTATCCATACATGTACAACGTGAAAGTAAAGCGACGTTGAGTAATAATCTACGTGTATTTAAAAGAAGCGAATTTTAACATTTTTTTTACATGGCAGTCGGGCAATCTATATACTCTACTGATTGATAGAAATCGAATGCGGTCCAAATGGCCCCCCAAAGGCCTATAACGATTTCAAGTAATTGGATGCTTTGTTGTTATGAGAAGTATTGCTTCTATTGCGAAATTAGGGGGTTCATTTGGACAAGTGTTGTTTTGTGAGACACCCGTGGAGCGTGTAGAACTCCAGGTCGGCAAAAATGCGATGAGGCGCGGTATATAGAAAAAAAGTAGAAAACAATTTATCCTTAGTAGGCCTTGTGATAATAACTTTCACTCGCTATTATTCCATTGAACATAATTTGATGTGGTTAGCCACTTCACATTATGACATCTAGCGCTCCTCCAACCTCGGCGATTGAACAGTTAGCTGTTTAATCGCCGAGGTTGGAGGAGCGCTAGATGTCATGGCAACCAACAGTGCGAATCAAAGAAGGTGAGGATGCTTAAACTGTCCTGAATACTTTATTCCTATTATACACGCATGTGAAAAAGGAATCAAGTTCAGATCAACAAACAAGAGTCTCCATTGGTTTCACCGATAAACCAATTGAAATTTTAATTAACATAATTCCTGCCCTAAAACTTACCTTCATATGTGCACGTAATACACGCAAAATAGGCGCTTAGATATTGATTTACCAACAAGTGCGCTTATACGTCGAGTTCAGTGCCGGCTTTACCAGTGGTGCAGGGTTTGCGGCGCACAAGGGCGTAGGGTCTAAAGCAATTGCGTCGCGGTAGCGAAGTAAACGGGCTACAACTTAACAAAGATTATTTTCAATTGCACCATTTGCTCTCGAATTTCCGATAACTGGGGAAAATACAACTGTAAGTACTCTATTTTTATCGCGTACCTACTACAGAACGCCAGGGTATTAATTGTACCAGGGTGCTACTTGGTCTAGCACCGCCGTCGGCTCTAATCGAGTTGCGAACACCGGCCCGTTACACATTGCCTTAAACCATATGTACCCGTATATAACATAAGTAACTTTGTGCAAATGTACCGTATCATAGTTTATTTAACAGCCTATTGC